GGATGACCTTGCCCACAGCCTTAGCAGCACCAGTAGAAGCAGGGATGATGTTCTGGGCAGCCCCTCGGCCGTCACGCCACAGCTTCCCAGAGGGACCATCCACGGTCTTCTGGGTAGCAGTGATGGCATGGACTGTGGTCATGAGTCCCTCCACGATGCCAAAGTTGTCATGGATGACCTTGGCCAGGGGGGCCAAGCAGTTGGTGGTACAGGAGGCATTGCTGACAATCTTGAGGGACTTGTCATACTTCTCATGGTTCACACCCATCACAAACATGGGGGCATCCGCAGAAGGGGCAGAGATGATGACCCTTTTGGCTCCACCCTTCAAGTGAGCCCCTGCCTTCTCCAAGGTAGTGAAGACACCAGTGGACTCCACAACATACTCAGCACCAGCATCACCCCATTTGATGTTGGTGGGATCTCGCTCCTGGAAGATGGTAATGGTCTTTCCATTGATGACAAGCTTCCCATTCTCAGCCTTGACTGTGCCTTTGAACTTGCCATGGGTGGAATCATACTGGAACATGTAGACCATGTAGTTGAGGTCAATAAAGGGGTTATTGATGGCGACAATATCTACTTTGCCAGAGTTAAAAGCAGCCCTGGTGACCAGGCGTCCAATACGGCCAAATCCGTTCACTCCGACTTTCACCATCGTGTCTCAGGGTCGTGCTGGCACTGCGCAGGAAAATGCGGCTGTCTGTCGAACGGGAGGAGCAGAGAGCCTCCAGGTTCATTTTTATATTTCCTGCCCCAGTCCTAGAATCAGCCATTTCTCCAAGGAGCTGTAGTTCCTTTCATTGAAGAATGGTATTAGAAACCAAAGTCTGGGTACTGGGTATGCTTGTTGCTATTGGGTTGTCATTGTTTCTAGACCCTCTCAGCTGGGAGAGCAAATAAATATATGTTTGTCTACTACCACATGTATGCATATATATATATATTTTTCTACATATAATCATCTATCTATATTAAGTTAAACATGAGTTCAAACTGTTGTCTCTCTCCAATTCTAATCTATTACTACATGGATCATTCTAGCCACCTCTCTGTGCTTATCTGTAAATTCTCACTCCAACAATGAGAAACCTGGCTTCTATCATCTGCCATTCATTTGCTTAGACATGATGGTTTCATTTTGGATGTCAGGCCCTACACCTGAAGTGCTTAGATTCTATCTGGTGACAGTTGGACAGAATCCTCTATTGTCACCTAGATCAGAGCCTGTATCGATTCCCAGAGCAGGCCAGCCTCTCCTTACTGCCCCTTCCTGATTTATCCCACACCACAGGCATACTATCTACCGCTGATGACTTTCTAGCCAAAAAAAAAAAAGAGGGCCCGGGTATTCTCTACTCCATGAAGGGTTCTATTAAAGTTCAAGGTCCTCACCCTACCAAAGGCCAGTTGGACTCAACGCTTCTTTCATTATGAGCTCCTCTCCCCCTTGTAAGGGATTTTATTTTTGTTTGTTTGTTTTGGTTGTAAGTCACAGAAACCCAACTCTACTAGCTTACAAAAAGGGAATTTATTGACTCACATAACTGAAAAGTACAAACACTGGTATGACTTCAGGCCAGTGGGATTAGGAACTCAAATCTCTCTCTCTCTCTCTCTGCCTTTCCCCTTTGTTGGTTTTATTCTCAAGCTACCTCATTGTTGGTCATCAGCAGCTCCAGGCCTAGGTTCCACCAGTTTAGCATCCGCAGTGGAAAGACAGTGTTTTCGTTATCTATTGCTACATAATGAATCAACCCAAAACTTAGTGGCTTAAAACACAAACCATATCGTTGCTCATGAACTTGTGGATCAAGAATTTGGGCAAGGCTCAGCGGGGCTGTTCCATGTGGTGTCAGATGGGTGCTCGACTGGAGCTACAGGATCCAAGATAGCCTTGCTCACGTGTCTTAAGACCTCAGTCCTAGATGATGGCTGGGGCATCCTGGTTCTCTGAGTGGCTTTTCTTGCCACATGGCCTCTTATCATTCAGTAGTCCAACGTACACACCTGTACATGGTGGCTGGCTTCTAAGAGAACAAAGTGGAAGCTGCCAGTCCTTTTTAGGCCTAGGCCCCAAACAGGCAGTGTAATTTTCTTTGCATTTTGATCAAAGCAAGTCACAGGGCCAGCCCAGATTGAATTGGAGGGGAAATAGATTCTTCCTTTTAATAGGAGGAGTGGCAAAGCCACATTGCAAAAGGGCATTTGTGATGGGAGAGAGTTGCAGCCATCTTTGAAAACAATCTACCAGAGAGAGTAGAGTCTCTTTTCCAATAATTTGAGTAGAAGTCCTGCATGGATTATGCTTTGGCCCCACTTGTGTCAAATGCTTATTCCTGAACCATTCTTAGTAGCTAGGGAAGAAAGAATGTGTTGACTGGCTGCTTCTGGGCCAGAATGGGCGATGTGGACTGAGAATGATGGAGGGGCAGGTTCCCAAAGGAAAACCAGGTGCTGGTACCAGAAGAGGGAGGAATGGGTATGGAACTGGTTAAAACTATTGCTGTCCAATCCCCCACCCCTGCTCAGAAACCTTCAGTGCCTGTTCTGCCTTGTCAGGTGCCCATGGAATGGACTCTTCTTGTTCCTCCAGCCTTATACCCTTCTCTGTTTTAGCTAAGCTTTCCTTTCACAGTTCTCCAAATGGACCTAGTTTCTTCTTTACTGTGCCTGTGCTTGTGTGGTCTCTCCACCCCTGCCTTGCCTGTGGGCATGTCCAAACCCTACCTGACTTTCAAGGAACAGTCTAAATGCTTCTCCTCCATGAATCCTTTCCTGACAACAAGGTGAGCGACATAAGGAAAACTGAATAAGGGTCAAGGCCACCTGATGTGGAGGTAAAAAGATGAGAAAGAAAGACCTGAGGACTCTTCTATCCTTCCAGAAAAGAACCTTCAAGCAAAATCAAAACCAATTACATTGAAGCTTCTAGGATTACTTTGTTAACCATATTTCAAATTGAAAGTATTTTGTTTTGTATGAAGATGTTTACTGCATTAATTGTAATGACAAAAACTAGAAGCTACCCAAATATCCTGCACTAGAGAATGAATCGTAATGGTCAAAGTTCTATAAGCAGTAAGTGACAGAAACCCAGCTCAAACTAGCTTAAGAACAAAAGGGAATTCAGTGGCTCAGGAACCTGGGCAGTCTAAGGGGCTCAAATGGTGTTTTCAGGCCCCCTCCATCTCTTGGCTCAGCTTCCATCTCTTGGCTTAGCTTCCCTTAGGTTTGGGGCTCATTTTCTCCCACTATCGACTAGTTTCCTCCATTGTGAAGGAAGAAAGCCTAAGACACAGATTGCTCCAGACTTACAGTATTCTTGCTTTGTGATCTTAGAGGAAAGAGAAAGCTGTTCTTTCCCAGAGGCCCAGGGCAGAAGGCTGTCCTGGCTTTGGAGACTTGCTCATTCCTGGGCCAGTGCCTGGCTAGAACAATGGGCTACTATGATTGACCAAACCTGGGCCAGGTAGCCAGGAAGAGACTGTTATGTTTGGCCGTCCACTGGAACCATATGGAGTGAGGTGGGGGGTGAAGAGTTTCCTAGAAGACTTTTACTGCTGTAAACAAGACGGTAAAATCTAGTCGATGGAATATTACATTCCAGGAAAAGGTACAGTTAGAAAGACCGTGTAGCAACATGAAAAATGGTTATAAAGCAATGCTAAGAGAAGAAGGCAGGATACAGACTTGAAACTAGGATGGCACCTTTGGAATATGGAAATATAGAAATTTTTTGCTTTGTGCGGGTGGTGGGAGAATGTATCATTATATTAAAAACCTTCAGTACCTTTGCAAAAACATTTGTACAATAAATATTTGCAAAAACAACCTGGCATATACTACATGATATGATTTTCAGAGCTCAGTTTCTTTCTGGAATGAGATGGGGCATAAATAAATAGATGGTGATTTTTTTTTTTTAGAGATTTTTTTTTATTGGGGAATTGGGGGATAGGAACAGCACTGAGGAATTGGGGGAAGGTTGACAGACAAGGTTGCTGTCGTTTTGTTCTTCAGTCTAGTTGTGGAGGACGTTGCTTCACTGGCCCAAGTTGGCACCATCATTGCGCTCTTCCCGGGTGAGGCAGATCAGTCGCCGGCTTCTGGATGGCCGCTCACTGCGGCTGCTGGCCGCTCACGCTGGCTGCTGGCTACACACGGTAGCCCATGGCAACCCACTGCAGCAGGGGCTGCAGCGTACGCAGTCTCAGCCGGCGACTCACCGCAGCCCAGCTCCAGGTTGAGCCGTTGTTCAGCATCTTAGCTGTAGAGGGCAGTGTCGCTGGCCCTCATATGTGGGATCCGAACCGGGGCCCTCTGGCGTCCCAAGCCAGCTCTTAACCAACGCGCCACTTGGCCAGCCCCGAAAACATTTTTATCTCAGTTTTCTGGCTTTTCTTCCCAGTGTCTTGTTTGGAGTGTGTGTGTGTGTGTGTGTGTGTGTGTGTGCGCGCGCGCGCGCGTGTGTTTGTGTGTGAAGGTCTGGCAAAGGCAGGCACCTGGGTATGGGCAAAGGCCCCAGAGTTCATAGCTGCCCTTTTAATCTTCCTCCCACTACCCTACTTCCCAGGCTGGGGTGTGGCTCATTCCACCCCCTCAGTTGCTTTCATAACACACCCCCTCCCCAGCCCTGGAACTCAGCTCCTTAACCATAGTGCAAATTAGAGGTGAGAGGGACCCCTGCCCCCAAACCCCACGGATACTGACTCCCAGCCAATCAACATCAAAGCCTCTCCATGGGACAGGAGAAGTCAGATGCTGGTACCAGAGAGACAGAGACTGAGAATTGTGGGTAGGCAGGGGGCTCAGCAAGGTCAAACCTACTTGAGAAGCTAGATCTTAGGTCTTCCTTCCCTCCTCTCCACTCCCACCCCCGGGCCTTTCGCCCTCTCTCTCTCTCCACACACACACACACACACACACACACACACACACACACACGCCTGACACAATGGCCGGGTGGGGCTGAGAAACTGGCTTCCTCTGTGGAGATCTCAATCTGGGTCCTCAGTTCCCGCCCAAGAAACACAGGAACAGACACTCGGAGACCTGGCCCCACACTCCTTGCTCCAAGGGGCAGGCAGGACAGGCTGAAAATAGAAACCGCTTCCAAAAAGATAAAGGTAAATTCAGGGGGAGCTACTGTAGAGTTAGGGAGGAGGAATCCTGGGGAGGGGGTCCCTTGGTGTAAAATAGTGGGCTGGTTCACACCCAGGGAGACAGGTTGGAAGCTAAAGGACAGGCTATCGGGTGAGGTATGGGCGAGATGGTCAGACAAGCTGCGGAAGAACACACACACCACCCCTTAGCTGATACGGAGGTGTCCTACTGTCAGCCCAGCCCTGTGCCATTTCCACCCCAACCTCACCCCTACCTCTGTTCACCCCCAGCCCGTGAGCCCCCATCCACACAGCAATACAGACAACATGCACATACAGAACAACCCATTGTCCACACCTGAGTTCCAGCCTTTCCCCAGACCATGTTAACCTTAAAAACCTGGGACACGGGGTCCATCATCTTCCAGAGCCCCAGTGTGCGCATGTGGAGTGTGGTGTGGTTTGGGGGGGGGTGTCCGGTTGGGAGGAGGATCGGATTCCTGTTTCCTGCTCCTACTCACTCAGCCCTGGGAGGTGACTGAGAGTGGAGAGGACTCAAGGGTGAGTGCTTGGGCTGAGTACCTGGGTCTCTGTGAGAGGCCTGAGTGGGGGGTGAGAAAGGAAGTAAATGAAGGTAACTGAGAAGGCAGGGTGGGATCCCTGAGGGGGAAAAGGCTGGAGAGGAGCCGGCCAGCTGAGGAGGCCACTGCCTGGGTCATCTCGATAAGGGGCTTCCTGCCAGGATACAGAGGCCATTGAGTTGCAAGACTCACAGTCTACAGCCCCCAGCCTCCACCTCCGAATCATTTCTCAAGAACCCAATTGGGGGCCTGGAGGGGTCTGACTCCCCTGCTGACTCCTGAAGGGAGTTGGGGGTCACCCTAATCTTCCAGTCCTGACCCTGCAGCCTTCTCAGGATTATAGCCGCATTCCCAGAGACAGGAAATGAAGCCTAGGCCTCCCGTGTCTTAGCCCCACTGGTCCTCGCCTCTGTCTGGTCTCCTCACTACCACCCGGGCATCCTGGCAGAGCCCAGGCTTCCACTGAGGTGTCTCTCTCTGTGACCAGATGGGAGGATGGGGAGCAGGCAGGAATAAGAGGATGGAGCAGGAGAGACCATGCCTGGTCTCTTGGGGTCAGAGGCTCCAGGAATCTTCATGGCAGGAAAAGGAGACTAAAAATAATCCGGAAAGGGAGAGTCCGGAGAGAGGAACTGGGAAATGGGGGGCGGAGGGCCGTTGGAGCAGGGAAATAGTGATGCGTCCCTTACAGCCCAGGCATGCGTGTGCGTGTGCACAGATGCACACACACTACAGATACTCCCACACAGACAGCACATAACACACATAAACCCTCGCACCTTTCTTCCACCACACACTATACACTGTGTACTCCGCTCTCCCACTGCATACCCACCCAGCAAGCATATAACAAACACATTCTCAAAACACATCATACAACACCTCTTTCATATAGCAGTAGAAACAGCACACACATACTGTGTCCACAAACACTGAAACCATGCACACCAACTTCCACAATACACACTACAGACACATAACACACAATTCACCAGGCATACATGTAGTGGCTATACTGGCAAGCCAAATTCCCCTTACTGATCCAGTTCTCTTATACCCTCTCCCCGCCACTTGGGTCTCTACCCAAGCACCCCCACCCCAGCCTCACTGTCTTCTCTGGCCTGATTGTGGCCGCAGAAGACAGAAATAGAAGGTGGAAGGGCCAAGAAAGGCAGTTGGGAAGGTCCGGGGGTCTCAGGACTAAGAAGGAGAGGTGAAAGATGAAGAGAGAAGACTGGAAATGATAAGAAAAGAGAAAGTACACTAGCCTTCCCTCCTGGCTCCCAAATCATGGGATGATTTGCTTGCAAACAATTGCTTCTCAGAGTCCTCAGTCTACCCACTGCAGGGCAGTGGTGGTGAGGTATGCAACAATAATGGTCTTTCTACCTCCCTCTTCCTTAGGGGATGACTCCAGCAGAGCACCCCACTCCTTTGAAGAGCTCAAAGGAATATGTCAGACCAGTCTCTTCCTATAGCAACACCCCCTGCCCAGAAGCCCCCTCGGATCATCCGCCCCCGTCCCCCTTCTCGACCCCGTGCTACCCAGTCCCCAGGGCCCCCCCACAATGGCTCCTCTCCACAAGAACCTCTCATCACCTCCAATGATGCACCAACCCCAATGTACAGCCCCATCTTCTGGGAGCCCCCAGCCTCTTCCCTCAAGCCCCCTGCCCTTCTGCCCCCTTCAGCTTCTAAAGCCAGCCTCGACTCCCAGACTTCCCCAGACTCGCCTTCCAGCACCCCCAGTCCAGCATCCCGGCGCTCCATCTCCCCAGAACCTGCCCCCAGGTCTCCAGTCCCTCCACCCAAACCTTCTGGGTCACCCCGCACGCCTCTGCCCCTGCCTCACACAGTCCCCCGTGTTCGTGCCCAGGATGGCTCTACCTCGGCTCTAGGCACTGTGCGGAGACTGGCTGGCAGGTTTGAATGGGGAGCTGAAGGCAGGGTTCAGGCTGCAGATGCTCAGGACCCAGCTCCCCAAGGGGGAGTGGATGTGAATGGGGAGGGAGACACGACCCAGGGCATCCTCACAGGAAGGGGATCCCAGGAGAATGGCGCTGCAGGTAAGCATGTCATGGGGCTAGGGTGGGCTCAGTCCAGCTCATCTTCTTTCTTTTCAATGCTTTCAGCCTGAGTACTTTCAGGGGCTACCTTTTTAAAAATGGGTTCCATGTTTGGAAAACTGGATTTCCAGATTTCTGGAGATTTGAAAAGAGTCAGGGTGGAAGGGATAGACGCCTGGGGCTGGACCATGTTCCCACTGTTAGGCAGGTTAAGGGGAGGGAGGAAGCCTGGGCAGGGCGAGGTTAGGCCCCAAGGGTCTTCTCCTTAGGACACTTTCTCTCCCACAGATGCTGCCCTGGCCTGCCCTCCCTGCTGCCCTTGTGTCTGCCACGTAGCCCGGCCTGGCCTGGAGCTCCGATGGGTCCCTGTGGGGGGCTATGAGGACGGTCCCAGGGCTCCCTGCCGAGCCTCCCCACTGAGGACCTCCCGCTCCCGCCCCAGCCCTCCCAATATCAGTCACCCCGCAGTGGTCCTCACATCCTACCGCTCCACTGCTGAGCGCAAACTCCTGCCGCCTCTCAAACCCCCGAAACCAACTCAGGTCAAGCAGGATGCCATCTCTGGGGACGCCCCACAGTCAGATCTCGATCTTCCCTTTGAAGATGGAATCCAAACAGGTACAGGGCCTGAAGGAGTGGATCCCTTGGCTGGGAAGGGAAGGGGTGGAGATGAAGCATTCTAAAAACCAACAAACCGCAACCTCCAGCAGACCCTGAGCTTTTTGATTCCTCTACCAGCTGCTGCTCTGGGGCTGATGGGCATTGTAGTTTTTATAGTAACAGTCTTTGCTGGGGCTGGAGTCAGGAGTCCTGAGATGGGGATCCTGGAGCTTTGTTCTCTTCACTCTGGATTCTCTCTGCAGGGGACAGTCCTGATGAAGCTCCTCAGAATACCCCTCCAGCAACCATAAAGCGCAGGTACTAAACACCCCACTTACTCCTACCTGAGGGCAAACTCACCTTCAGTTCCTGCTAAATCCCACCTCCACAAAGGTGGAGTGAAGAAAGGCTGGGGCTCTAGAGATAAGCAGCCCTGGTTTCTAATCTCAGATCTGTTCCTTATGAGCTATGTGACCTTATATAAGTCACTTAACCTTTCTGGTCTCAGTGTCCTCATCTGTGAAATGGGGGTAAGCATACCGACTACTTCATAGAGTTGTTGGGTATGGCATTGGTAAAGAGCTGGCCCCTAGGAAGTGCTCCATATTAATTCTCCCACATTAAGCCTCTATTGCAATTATTGTCTACAAGTCTATTTGGCAGCCATGAACATCTCTTCTGTGTCATCTGGGCTTGTTAATGATCTTAGATTCACCACCGTTATCCGAGTTGATCTGAGCCCATTCACTTATTCAATGAATGTTTACCGGTGTTCATTCTCCTGGGTTTTTAGCTTGGGTGAATGGGTGTATGGTGGTGCCAATGACCAGACCAGGAAAAACAGAACCGCAGGTGGTGGTGAGAGGTATGAGTTTGGGTTTGATCACATTGAGTTTTACTGAGGCACAAATAAGGCATTCCAGATAATGGTTGCTATGTGAGAGGGCTAGAGATAAAAACTTGGAAGTTTTTGGTACAAAGTAGTTGAAAGATAACAGGAATGGATGGAGCCCGCTTAGTTCAGAGCCTCCCATACAACAGGCACATAAAAAAATCTGGGCTTTGGGGAACTGCCAGGGTCCCTGCGTACAACTTTACACTATTATGTGGATAACACCCCTGGAGGTATGCAACGGTAGTGGCTCTGGTGGGCTCCATCCCTTTTTCTCTCCACAGGGATGGGGAAGGGCCTGAGGAGCTGAAAGAGCAGAACTGGGAGCTGCCCCTGCAGGATGGTGAGGGCCTCTGGGCCTGGGGGTCCCTGCTGTGACCATAAAGCAGAGGGAAGGGTTCTAGGGCCCTGGACTTCCCTGATGTGCTGCATCTGTTCTCCAGAACCCCTGTACCAGACCTACCGAGCAGCGGTGCTGTCAGAGGAGCTGTGGGGTCCGGTCTGTGAGGATGGGAGTCCTTCCCCAACAAATCCTGGCGAAGGTCCCACCTTCACCCGGCCCCCTGGACCTCGCAACACTCTGTGGCAGGAGCTTCCAGCTGTGCGAGCCAGTGGCCTCCTGGACACCCTCAGCTCCCAAGAGAGGCGCATGCAGGAGGTGACACGCCTGGGGTCTGGCTAGGGCAGGAGTTTGACCTGGGCCCTGGACTGGCTGGGAACTGGGCTTTCCACTATTGCCTTTCCTGTTTCCTCAGAGCCTATTTGAGGTGGTGACATCTGAGGCCTCCTACCTGCGCTCCCTGCGGCTGCTGACTGACACCTTTGTGCTGAGCCAGGCTCTCCGGGACACACTCACCCCTCGGGATCACCACACCCTCTTCTCCAATGTACAGAGAGTTCAAGAAGTCAGTGAGCGGTCAGTGGGGTCCTGTCCTCTTGGCAAACCAGGCTTTAGGCTGCTGAGTACCCTTCAGCTTTTGCCCTGTTCCAGGGCCTCCCTTCCATGGGCCCAGTTAGTGCCCAACTCTTCCCTCAAGAACCCAGGATGCCTGGCTCTCTGCCCCGCTTCATTGCTCTTTCCCCCACTCCTTCAGGTTTCTAGGGACATTACTGTCCCGTGTGCGCTCTTCCCCTCATATCAGTGACCTATGTGACGTGGTGCATGCCCACGCCGTGGGGCCTTTCTCGGTGTATGTGGATTACGTGAGGAATCAGCAGTATCAGGAGGAGACCTACAGCCGCCTCATGTGAGTGTCCCAGAGGCAGGGCCCAGGTTATGCATGTGAGAGGAAGCTGGGGAGCAGGGTTGGGGTCCAGGCCAGGGTACGCTGCGGGATCAGGGCCTCGAGGCAGACACCAGCTGCCTGGGTCTGCTTCTGTAGGGACACAAATGTGCGCTTCTCCACGGAGCTGCGTCGGCTGCAGAGCCTCCCCAAGTGCGAGCGGCTCCCGCTGCCGTCCTTCCTGCTGCTGCCCTTTCAGCGCATCACGCGGCTCCGCATGCTGCTGCAGGTACTGTCCTGGCCTGGGGACTTTTCCGCCCCATCAACCCCACTGGAGACTCTCCTGGGGCCTCTTGCCCAGCCATCACCATCTCCCACCTCACCATGAACACAGGACTCCCCTAAATCAGACCTCCCAATCTGGGCCTCTCAATCCAGGACCCACTAAGCCCTGCCTGGAGCTACCCAAATGTCTCAAGGAGCAACGTAGGTGCAGGAAAAGAGCCCCTGGCTAGAGGCATGAGTTCTAGACTTGGCTCTGCCACTGGCTGAGTGACCTTGGGCAAGTCTCTTTCTCCCTCTGGGTCTCATGGGGAATGTGGTAGGTGGTCTTTGAAGTCTTCTCAGCTATATCTTCCACTGCATGCCTCCCCGATGGGGGTGATATCACCTCTAAGGAGGCAAAAATTCGTTCTTTGAGGAGTGAAAAAAATCTTAAATATTCCAATGGTTGTGGTACTTCAAAGGGTTATGGTACATAAATAGATATACAGTGTATCTATGGTATTAAAATTTCTTTAAAAACTCCATAGCAGGGTGATACCAAAAAAAAAAAATGTTGAGAAACAGTCTTCTATCGCAGAGCAGAAACTTCTCCCTAAACCACGTCACCCAGTGTGGGGATCTCAATGTGAAGAGTTCTCAACTAGATCATCAGCGTCTTTATGTCTTATTCAGCTTTGTATATCCCAAGTGTAGGCAAGATAATCATAATCATAATCTTAATAGTTAAACAGCTATTGAGTGCTCTGTTTTTTGCATGGTTCTAAATGCTTAACCTTACCAACAACTGTGTGAGGGTAGAAACTATTATTGATCCTACTTTATTGATGAGGAAACTGAGGCACAGAGAGGTTAAATAGCTTGCCCAAGGTCACACAGATAATAATTAATGGAGAAAAACATTAAATCCAGGCACACTTAACAACTGTGCTATATTGTTTGTACTAATAGTTGTGGTTAATAATTATTAAAATAATAGCAACCTTTTTTTTTTAGCACTTACTATGTGCCAAGGATTATGCTAAGTACTTGACATATATTACCTTGCTGAATCCTCACAACAATGCTATTGCTAGACTAGGTGGGTATTGTCCTCATTGTACAGATGGGGAAACTGAGACTCAGGGAGGTCATGTGAGTGGAGAGGTCTCTTAGCCTCGTTGAGGCTGGTCACTCAGCCCTGTGAACCCCACACTGAGCATTTTTCCAAACCAGGCAATGGTTCTCTGAGCTGCAGCCCCTCTGAATCCCAGGGCTGCAGAGCAGGGGCCCAGTCACCCTCCCTCCTTGTCCTCAGAATATCCTGCACCAGACAGAGGAGGGGTCCAGCCGCCATGAGAATGCCCAGAAGGCTCTGGGTGCTATCAGCAAGGTGGGCAGGGGGGATGCTGAGGCCAGGGGAGGTGGGAAGAGGTGGAAGGGAGTAGGGGTGGGTGACTCAGCTCCCCTTACCCAGATCATTGAGCGTTGCAGTGCTGAGGTGGGACGTATGAAGCAGACTGAGGAGCTGATCCGGCTCACCCAGAGGCTGCGCTTCCACAAGGTCAAGGTGAGTCTCTGCCCAGACTCCCCCACTTCCCTTTCCCCATGGTGGTGCTGCTGTGAAGAAGCCAGAACCTCCTCCCTGCTTCCTCGCAGGCCCTGCCCCTGGTCTCCTGGTCTAGGCGCCTGGAATTGCAGGGGGAGCTGACGGAGTTAGGGTGCCGGAGAGGGGGCATGCTCTTCACCTCACGCCCCCGCTTCACTCCCCTCTGCCTGCTGCTCTTTAGTGACCTACTGCTCATCACTCAGCCCAAGAGGTGGGTACCAGAGAGGATGGGAGCCCAGGCAGGGTGAGGTGGAGGAGTCCAGCTGGACTTCTATTCTCCCTTTGAACTTCCTCTTCTTTGGGCAGTGGGCAGCGGCTACAGGTTCTGGATTATGCCCATCGCTCCCTGGTCCAGGCCCAGCAGGTTCCAGACCCATCTGGGCCTCCTACGTTCCGCCTCTCCCTTCTCAGCAACCACCAGGGCCGCCCTACCCATCGACTACTCCAAGCTTCATCGCTGTGAGTTGTGCATCTTTCAGAAAAGACTTTTGGGACCTTCACCTGACTTCAGAGCCCACCACCCTCCTGCCAATCTCGCTCCTCTGTGGCCCCTGCCTAATCCCCAGTAAGATCTCCTGGGCTAACTGTGACCCTCCCTATGTCCCCACCAGATCAGACATGCAGCGCTGGCTGGGAGCCTTCCCCACCCCAGGCCCCCTTCCCTGCTCCCCGGACACCATCTATGAGGACTGTGGTAAGTAACTGATAGTGTAAAGAGAAAAGGAAAAGTGAGTCTAAAGGGGGATATGGGGGGGCGGGAGGAACTAAAAAGAGCCTTGATTCTGCTGTAATGTCATCCACCCCAACCAGACTGTTCCCAGGATCTGTGTTCAGAGCCTTCTGCACCAGCCAATACTGAGGGACGGAGTCTGGAGTCCAAAGCTCCCCCCAAGCACCTGCACAAGAGCCCTGAAGGTGAGAGACTCTTGTATTTATTCACTCAATAAATATTTATTAAACACCTATGAGGTGCCACTCTCTGTTCTATACACTGTGGACCAAACACACAGAGATTCCTGTGCTGCTGGAGCATATGTTCTAGAGGAGGAGAGACAACAAAGAATAAACAAGATAAATAAGTAAATTATATATAGTGTGTCTGAAGATGATATGGAAAAACAAAAGTGGAGCAGAGTCAAGGAGGTCAGGAATCCCAGAGTTGGGTTGGTTACAAGTTTAAATAGTGAGGTCAAGGTGGACCTCAGTGAGGAGGCACCATGCGAGCAATGACTTAATGAAGGTGAGGAATTTAAGCACATGGCGTCTGGGGGAAGAGTGTTCCCATCAGAGACAAGAGTCAGTGCAAAGGCCCTGTGGCTGGTGTGTTTGAGTAACAGTAAGAGGGCAAATGTGGCTAAAGGGAATGAGGATAGAGGAGAGAAGAGATGAGGTCATAGAGATAATGAGGACGAGGTCATGCGGGTTCTTGTAGGTCTCTGTAAGGACTTTGGCTCTCACTCTGAGTGAGATGAGCAGCCATTACAGGGCTTGACAGAGGAGTGATCCCGACCCTCTTTGATGCTATTGTCACCTCCACCTCCAATGGCTTTTCTAGGCTTCTTAATCCTTACACTCACCATGACACTCAGGCATTAGACACCATGGTGTCTCCTTTCCCTCCTGACCTGTTCCTTGCCTTGGCCCCACTTGGACCCTTCTCTCTCTTTCTCCAGGCTGGCTGAAGGGACTTCCTGGGGCCTTCCCTGCCCAGCTGGTGTGTGAAGTCACAGGGGAACACGAAAGGAGAAAGCACCTTCGTCAGCACCAGAGGCTCCTTGAGGCTGTTGGACCCTCTTCAAGCGCCCCTGACGTCCCCCAAACCTAATGCAGGCTGGGAAGGGGGCACAGGTTGGGACAGCTGGCAGTGTGGCACAGAGGACAAAGCCCATCCATCTGTTGGATTCGCTGTCTGTGGAAACACTACCTCTAGTGGCAATCAATAAAGACCAAGCTTCAGGACAAGGCAGCCAATGAAAACAGGGCTATTTGAGCTCGGGCAATAAGGGAGAATGAGGATGGCTTGAGTAAGTTGCCAATGGAGACAGAGGCTTAGTGCAGAGCCACCGAATGGGTGCTGAGGTGGCTGAGCCCCTGGCCAATGAGTATCCCTGCTATGCCCACAGCCTAGGAAGATGAAGCCAGGTTGATGCAGTTAAAAAAGGCCGCATTGGAGATAATGTCCTAGGATTAAAATAGCCAACAGCGATGAGCAGGGACCCATCCATCCAAAGAAGATAGTAATCTGGACCCAAGAGACCAATAGTGACTCTGCTTGGTTTTACAGCCATGACCCGTCCTGCCCTTTGAGTCTAGAAAGTATTAGATTCCATTCTCGGGTGCCTCCTGTGTCCTTTTAAGCCACTTCTCTTCCAAAAGAATCCAGAGCGTGTTTATCAGAGAATCTGTGTGTGTATGTGCATGTGTGCTTATGTATGTATATGTTTCTGGTGAATGTGGTGTGTGTGTGTGTGATCTTGCCCGCTGCCAGATGACTGAGTGTTCCATTTCTTCCCTCACCACCCATTTTAACTATTATTTTCTCTGAGAAAGACACTAAGTCTGAGTGCCAGAGGAGTTATGTGCTGGGTATAGCTTGGCAGCCAGAGGCCAGGGTTGGGTTCTGGGGTCTCTTGGAGGCCAGGGTTCCATGACAGTTGGAGGGTGATATTATGAAGCAGCCAAGCAGCCTGGCAAGGAGCCTGAGGGACTGCAGATGGCCAGTAGCTGGGGCCGAGGCCCCCTGAAGCCCAAAGGCCCTTCTTGCCCCAAAGCTTGGTGTCTAAAATCTCTGCCTACAGATCCCCCAACTGAACAATAATCAGTTGCACAGCCTCAGCCTTAGGCTTCAGACCAGCTCTGGACCCCAAATTTGGGTGAAGAAACAGGAGCTGTGGATCATGGGCTGGCTGGTGAGCCCCCTGGCCTTTCTTGCCTTGATCCTGGTCTTCTCACAGAAACACTGGACCAAGCAGTGGGCAGAGAACAGAGAGCAGTGTTGCTGCCCAACCCCATTCAGAGTGTCTGCTTCTGGATGAGAAACTGCCCTCATACAATGCCAGAGGGAGGTGAAGGATGGAGATAGAGTGGAGCAGACAGTTGCTGGCGAGTGGAGCCCGGCCTGGCACACGGCCTTCCCTGAGCTAGGCCCTCATACCTTCCCTTCAGCTCATGTATAACAACTTGTCCAGGACAGAAACTCCCATGCTGACCATGGGAGGTGTAGGAGGGACCCTGGGAGACTCAGAGCGGGGAAAGGCACTGGCATATGAAATGTCCATGACTTTGGAGATTTACCTAGCACACTACCTGGCATATGAGAAACCCTCAATAAATGTTGGTGGAGTTGTATTGAGGCTTTTTGGGGTACTGAATACTTAAAGAAGCAGTGGTTTCTAAATGTGGCTTGATAAGGGGGATGGGACTGGTTGGAAAGGGATTCTTTGAAAGCAGAGGTCAGTTCTGCTGGAAACTGGGCTTGGAGACTAGGAGCAAAGCCCTAGTGCATCGGCCCACTCATAGCTACTGAGGGACCTAAAGACAGCAGTGGTGGTGGATTTGCAGATGCTGGGGCAGAGGGCTCCTGCAGGTTGGGGAAGAAGACAGGGCAGGGCCAGGTATGGCTGGGGCTGCAGCAGGGGATGAAGATGCAGTAAGCAGGACAAAAAGGGCAATCAGTCAGCAGTAAAGGTCCTTTCCTGATCAGTCAAGCATCTCTGTGTTTAATGCAATCAATTTTACACCCATTTATTGAGTGCTTTCTAGGTGTCAGGCACTGTTCTAAGAGCTGGAGATACAGATATGGAAAAAAACAAGGGAGCCTACATTCTGGGAGGTTGGGGGGACAGGTGGAGAGAACGATTACCAATTGTAAACACATTTAAAAAAAAGATTTTATTGGGGAATTGGGGGAGGGGAACAGCGTTGGGGAATCAGGGAACGGGAACAGACAAGTTGCTGTCCTTTTGTTCTCCAGTCTAGTTGTGGAGGACGTCGCTCCACTGGCCCATGTTGGTATTATCATTGCGCTCTTCCTGGGAGAGGCAGTTGCTCGCTGGCCACTGGATGGCTGCTCACCGCAGCTCATGAAAGCTCACACCCACTGCCGGCCAGCCCCACTGCAGCCTACGCCATCGCCGGCGACTCACAGCAGCCCAGCTCCAGGTCGAGCCGTTGTTCATCATCTTAGATGTAGAGGGTGCAGCGTCACTGGCCTCATGTGGGATCCGAACCGGGGCCCTGCTGCTCAGAGCTGGCATCCCAAGCCAACTCCTAACCAATGCACCACTCGGCCAGCCCCAATTGTAAACAAATTAGTAAGATAGCAGTGAGTGCTATGAAGAAAATACATCAAGGGCTGTGATACAGAATGCTGTGTGTGTGTGTGTGTGTGTGTGTGTGTGTGTGTGTGTGTGTGGCTTTGGGGAAGACCCTGGGGGAGGTGACATTTCAGCTGAGATTCAAATGACAAGAAGGAAGCAGCCCTGGGAAGATCTGGGCAAAGAGCATTCCAGGGGTGGCAACAAGGGGTCTGAAGTCCAGGAAGAGAAGGTAGTGGTTGTGGGGAGGTGTACGTGCTCCTTCAAGTTTCCTGGTTGGGGGAGCCCCTCTCCACCAAGTTCTCCCCTCTCTCTGAGATAGACAGACAGACATTCGGAGGCCCACACAAAGCTATGCATGTGCCCCATATGTGGTCCCTCCCAACTCCTCACCCCCTCCTTGAGCCCTGCCACTAAGGAAGCCCCCATGCTCCACTTCAGATGTTCTAATCATGGGATAACGGGAGGATGAAGACCAGATGAGAGTTATTTTGGGGGCATAAAGGCACACAAAATACAGCCACATGTCCCAAAAGAGACTGAAAAGACAGGGAGGAAAGGGGATCACCATGTTTCTGTTATATTAGAGGCCCCTTTCCATTTTTGGGTGACCTCAGTGTGCAGTCCGGGAGGGGTGTGCATTTTGCAGACCTGTTGGAGAGAGCTATGGGGCATGAAGCACAGCTATATGGGAAAGGGATGGATGCAGGAGAATGAGAGCACTGTGAGCACAGAGAAAGTGAACGGAAGAAGGAATGGGGGCAGGGTAAGGAAGTCAAAGGAGGGAGAATGGTGGGGGCAGTACAGGTGGTACAGGTAGCAGTAGGTAACTTGGCTCATCCTGAATTCTACCCCTTCCTCTCCCGCTCACCCTCTGCCAGGCATCTACCGCTCTGTCATAGCCATGCACTACCTTCTGCTGGTGTCATCCTCCGCTCCATCCTGTGTTGCTCCTCACCCTTCCTGACCCTCTGGGTCGCCTTCTGCAACTTCCTTGTAAGGAAGGAGAAGTCTCTCAGTCCTGCCCTGTCTGGTATTTCAGGCATGGTGGTGGGTGTGGTAGGGGTCAGCACAAATATCCTAGGTGTAAGAGGTTCACTGACCCACTTGAGAAGTCCTGGAGCTGCCATTACTCCATTCCTTCACATTCTGTCATGCTGGGTGGAGAGGTGGAAGAAACTCATATTTTCACAGGCTTTGGAGGCACAGGTGTGTCTCAGGCCTGGGGGAGGTGCCTGAGAGATCAGGGTGGGGAAGCTGTGCTGATTGGGAGTCTCTCTCTCTCTCTCTCTCTCTCTCTCTCTCTCTGTCAGTATGTTCTGTCTCTCAGCCCTGCTCCTCATATTTGTGACCTCTACATCTGAAGAGTCAATCATAATGCAGATAGGACAGGGAACTGACCCCTCTTTGTGCTGCCCCTTCTGTGCTCTGTGGCACAACATCGTTGTGGTCATTATTGCTGGTGAGCTGAGGGGGATTGCAATCGTGACCACAAGCAACAGGTGGATAAGCGGAGTCTCCCCCACCCCAGCCTGCTCACTAGCTTTCTCCCCTCTCCTTCTAGCCCCACAGGCTGTCCAGCCCACTTCCTGTGATCCTTTCCCCGAGCCTGGCTCTGTCCGTTCCCGAAAACTTGTCTCTCTCTCCTCCCTCCTTCCTCGTATGGCTCGCCTCTCTCTTCAGCTACTGGGCTATCTGCTGGTTCCTGTTCTCGGGTCTGGCCTGTTCACCAGGCATGCACACCATCTGCTGCAGGAGTATGTCTCTTCCGACAGTTCTTCCACCAGCCTGGCGAACCTCTGAAGGCCACCCCGGCCTTGCTCTCAAGCACGCCCTCTCCCAACTACCGACTCTCCATCTTCCAGCGGCCGGAGAAAGTCTCGGGCCAGAGAAACGGGAGCAAAGGGATGCTACAACTCGCCGAGGTTTCCCTCTGACCCAACCTGGACGCGCCTCACCGTCGGGGGCGTGGTCAGGTCCCTTTTGCTCCCTCCCTCTGGGATTGGCCCGCCCCGCCCCTCCTCGCCGGGCTGCGCCCTGGCGCTGCTCTCGGTGGACCATGACCTACTGGGTGAGGCGGCTTTTCTGATCCCTGCCTTGGCACGTCTTCTGGCTGGACTGGGTCTACTGGTTCTCAGCGCTCGCCTCCCACGCGAGGCAGGCCTGGGGATGGCCCCCCCGCCGTGGAATCCTTAAGAGGTTGAGGCGCAGGCTCTGCGTCTGCAGTGAACTGCGCGCCGACCGGCCCTCATTGTGGGCGGGTGCTGGGTGCCCCCTCCCCTCTTCTTACTCAACGGACCCGCCGATCTCGCGAAGTCGCCCCGACCTTCCTGAGACCCAAGGTCGGCGTTTAGTTTGTTGGTTGATCGACTTCGGACCCGACTCGGTCACCTCGGCGCTCAGCTCTCAAGCATCGGTTGGCATTTTCCATTGTTCTCTGCACGCACGTCTGTCCCTGGGAGCCCCGTGTTGCCTTAGTGCTTAAGCTCAAGCTGTTCCACATCCCACTCACTGACTTTTGGAGTCCCATCTCCCTCTTCCTTGCCCACTATTTTCTATTTTCTCCTTTCTGCTTACCCCCCTGTCTCCAGCCCCTGGAATCATCCTCCCCTTCACTTCTGAAGCCTTTTCCCACTTTGTCTACCTTTGGAAATCTGAAGCTGCCTTGTGTGGGAAGAGCTTGGGGTTGAATTCAGATTTTGTGGGGTCCTTTTAAGAAAAAGAATACAAATTATGAATTAAAATTGGGTACAAAAGGCAGTTTTTTATCTAGAGTGATAAAAAATAAATCAATTATTTTTAAAAGTTGACAAACACAGCGAACAACATAAAACCCCAGAAAACTAATTTTATTTGCTTGTTTGCCATTCTAATAGGTGTGTAGTGATATCTCATTGTGGCTTTAACTTGTGTTCTCCTAATGACTAATGGTGCTGAGTATCTTTTCATGTGCTTACTGGCCATTTGAATATCTTCTCTGGTGAAGTGTCTGTTCAAACCTTTGGCCTTTTATAAACTGGGTGGTTTGTTTTCTTATTATTGCATTTTGAGAGTTCTTTATATATTCTGTATATAAGTCCTTTATCAGATACGTTATTTGAAAACATTTTCTCCCACTCTGTGGCTTGTGTTTTCATTCTTTTAACTGTGTTTCTCAAAGAGCAAAAATTCCTAATTTGGCAGTCACTTTTTGCTTTGTTTTTAGCAGCATTTTTTTGTCTTTCCACTTCTGTCCAGTTGGTATGTAAAAGGCAATAGAATTACCCGCAGAGACAGAGCCAAGCAAGTGGGACACACACCAACAAGTGGGTCTGCCCATCATCTTTCTATATGCCCAAACCCTGAAGGTCAAGCAAGAGGCATTCTGGGGGAGAGAGCTCAGTGACCCACGGTCTTCTACAGCCTCACTACTCAGTGTGTGGTCATTGGACCAGTAGCATGGGCATCACATGGGAGCTTGCTCCAAGTGTGGCATCTGCATTTTAAGAAGATACCCAGGTTATCAGTATACACTTTAGAGTTTGAGGAACAGCAACGATGACAGGCCCATATGAAAGAAGGATGCATACTTTCACAGATGCAAAAGAGAGGTAACCTTGTAGCTCTTGGACTCCAGCCATTGACATAGCCTAGCAATGCCAGGGGAGGAGATCCACACTGGCATGTGTACTGGAGTGAGCTGGCCTGGGGTGGGACTGTTTCTGAGTGTCACGCAGGCAGCAAAGTAAGTTCACATGGACAACCAAGAAGTGACCAATAAGCCTATGTAAGCCCAAATCCATGTTCTCCAGGTCGGCTTTGTTTGTAGTCATTGAAAGGCTATCGTCCCATAAGAGATATCCAGGCACCTGTCCTTACCGATGGAGCAGTGGGCAGTTTCCTCTTCAGAAACTTCCTAGCCTTGCACTCCATTCTGGCTGCACTTTGTACCTGTGTGCGCAAGTTATCATTAGTTGTTTTTTTAAAGATTTTATTGGGGAATTGGGGGAAGGGAACAGACAAGTTGCTGTCCTTTTGTTCTTCAGTCTGGATGTGGAGGACCCCGCTTCACTGGCCCATGCAGGTATTATTGCGCTCTTCCCGGGTGAGGCAGTCGCTTGCTGGCCATTGGATGGCCACTCACAGCGGCTCATGGCGGCTCATGGCGGCTCACGAAAGCTCACACCCGCTACCTGCCAGCCCCACTGCAGCCTATGCCATCGCCGGCGACTCACAGCAGCCCAGTTCCAGGTCGAGCTGTTGCTCACCGTCTTAGCTGTAGAGGGCGCAGCGTCACTGGCCCTCATGTGTGATCCGAACCGGGGCCCTGCTGCTCAGAGCTGGAGTCCCAAGCCAACTCCTAACCAACGTGCCACTCAGCCGGCCCTATCATTAGTTTTTGAATACTTGGTTTCCTTTCTTTGGGGGAACTATTCCTCCCCAAGGCCATGTGGTTCTGGTAGGCTGTCAGTCAGGGCATCCACCTTTGCATGTTCCCTTAGTTTCTGCTGAGTTCTAGGCCTGGATGTTCAGCTTCCTCTTTGAGTCTGTGTACCTCAGTATCGCCTCAGTATATTCCTTTTAGCCTACCTTAGTTTGGGTTTGCCCTTGCAACCAAAGAATTCTCACTGATACACAGCCTTCCAAGATAGTTGCCTAGGACAGTCGCTAGCCCATAAGGCACCTTTGTGCCTTTAACCTTGTGGTTAAAAGACAGCCCCTCTGAATAGATATAAGGGTAACTGGCTTGGGGCAGGGAGCAACACCTTTATGAAATATAGAACAAGTGCTTCTTCCTCCATGCCAATGGAGCCCTCTTAGAGGGGCATGGCTTGCCAAGCTAAATGCAGACTGGAGTTCAGTTCTCACTTACCCCCTCAGCTGTGTGCTCTTGTGCAGTGCACATCCTACACAGCCTTATGTGGAGATCCTGTTGTCAGGTTCCCCACCCTTCCCTTCAGCTCTCTTCTCCTCTTTCCACATTCCAGTTTACCTCTTCTAGGCTTTTACTTGGGAAACATTAAGGCTGATAACAGCTATGTTTACTTTTGTAGCTATAGTTAAGTCTTCCGTGCTTTGTCCATCTGTTATTCTAAAAGTTGAAATTCAATTAGCAGTGTTTAGCTGATGTATTGTGACTTATAAATATCTTTCGTTGCAGAGTCAGTAACCACTAAGATTACATTTCCTTTCTTGAACTGTTTTAATTTCCTTGAAAAGCAATATTTGGTACATTCACAGGATTATATGAAATATGTTAGTTATAAATGACTCTGATATAATGAATATAATAATACCCGTATACCATTCACCTAAACCAGGAATGAATAACCTATTGCCAATAATATGTATGTGGCAGTGTAATCCTCCCCGTCCTATTCTCTTGCTTCCACTAAGAAATAACCACTATATTATATTTTGTGTTTATCATTCCACAGCTTTTAAAAAAACCCATGCAATAATAATAGTATGTTTTGCTTAGTTGTGCTTGTTTACGAGCTCTATAAAAATGGTGTATTTATGGTGTAGTCTTCTGGGAGTTACATTTTTCAGGAAAATTATATTTCCAAGATTCTTCCATGTTGTTTTGTGTTGCTGTTAGAACTGCTTGTTATGATTAGAAACTCTTAGAAACTCCAGGATGAACTAAAACAGATCTTAGCAAGGAAACACAATCCTGATAATCACTAGCTCTGCATGAATGACATTCCCACTAGGCCAGCACCCCCTCTTTGAGCACTTCTCCCTCCTGGTATATAACATTCATTAGCGTTATCCCAACCTATGTGTGAGGAAGCTAGGGAATTTATTTACCAACTCCTTATTTGTCATTAGTTCATGTGTCAGCCTCCAGACCTGGGTGCCTCTGACCATGGCTAATTGTTCTAGGGATGGCACTTATCCCTGGCAGGGCCAAAGAGTGTTTGGACTTGAGACTGAGAGGCCTCTGCTCTGATGGCTGATGGTGAATATCCTGGATCAAAGGGCCATGTTTCTCATGGTGTGGACCAGAGGAGAGGAGGACGTTGGTCAGCAGAGGAAGAGCAACATGTTCCAGGAGAAGCAAGACCAGAGTCAGAGTGCTATGGTTTGAATGTTTTTGTCTCCCCAACTCCATATGTTGGAAAACTAACCCCCAAGGTAATGATATTAGGAGGTGGGTCTTTGGGGGTGATTAGATCATGAGGGTGGAGCCCTCTTGAATGGGATTAGTGACTGTATAATAGAGATCCAATAGAGAGCTCCACAGCCCCACATGAGGACACAGCAAAAAGTTTGTGACTTGGAAGTGGGCCCTCACCCGACCATGCCGACCATGACAGCACCATGATTTTGGACTTCCAGTGTCCGAATTCCTGATTGCAACCGTTTTTGAGGTCCAGTTGTTCACATGACCTAAGGATTCATGATTAAATTGCTTAAATTAGTTTAGGTTCCTTTCCATCATTTGCAGCCACTAATATGCAAGGATGTCTGCTAAAAACTGTTTTTGCTCCTTCTTTGTTTGCTAGTAAAAGAGCGTAAAACAATTAAAATGATAATTTAACAATAATAACTACCAATTTCTGGGAATTTTCTATAAACCAATAAATACATTTTGTTCATTATTTCATTCAACACTCAAAACAAATCTGAGGTGAGTATTATTGTTCCTGTGTTACGGATGAGTAAACTGAGGCATAAAGAGCTATATGTTACATCCAGGTTCACAAGGCTATTAAGAGGAGGCCCATTATTCATAACTCTGCCTGTTGGACCCTAAAGCCTGTATTCTTAACCACATGCATCATTATCTCCACAAAAGAAACCAACTCTGGTGGAATTCAAACTCACGTCCCAAATTTGGGAGGCTTTCTCCTCATGAGAATTTCAGGGGCTAACTGAAATCTGGAAGCCACTATGATTGGCTGCCATGGGTGACTCAGATTTCTTTTCCTATAACTTAAAAGGGAGGTTTTAGTCTCAGACTGTGTGACACTCACATACATACCCTGTCTTTTTTTTTAAGATTTTTTTAAATTGGGGAATTGGGGGATGGGAACAGCACTGGGGAATTGGGGGAAGAGGAACAGACAAGTTGCTGTCCTTTTGTTCTTCAGTCTAGTTGTGGAGGACATTGCTTCACTGGCCCAAATTGGCACCATCATCACGCTCTTCCAGGGCGAGGCAGATCAGTCGCCGGCTTCTCGGTGGCTGCTGGCTGCTCACGGTGGCTGCTTGCTACACACGGTAGCCCATGGCAACCCACTGCAGTAGTGGCTGCAGCCTATGCCGGCACTGCTGACTCATGGCAGCCCAGCTCCAGGTTGAACTGTTGTTCAGCATCTTAGCTGTGGAGGGCAGTGTCACTGGCCCTCATATGTGGGATCCGAACTGGGGCCCTCTGGTGTCCCAAGCCAGCTCTTAACCACCGCGCCACTTGGCCTGCCCTACATACCCTGTCCTTATCCTATGTCCTCCCCCTTTTGGTGCTGAGAAAAAAAGAAGGAAAAAGAATGATAGAAGAGGGAAGAGAATTACAACTGTTGACCGGAAGTGAGTAGCAGTGGGATAGAGGTTGAAGGGGTTAAGGGAAGTAGTAAGAAGGTTGATTACACCTCTGGAAGACATTTTCAAATGTTTTCCTGGGGACAAGCTTCTTCTCCCTCCTCCTGCTCCATCAGTGAACATTTGGGGTTGGTTTCAGGGCAGAAGAAATGGGAAGAGAAAAGGAGACCCTCAGAGATCATTGCTCTTTGGTGAAGGGAGGCATCAGAGCCGCAGTTCTCAGCTGGGAACTGAGGAGCAGGGTTTTGAGGAGTTGGAGCTGAAGGTGTGGGTCCCCTCCCCCATTTGACTGCCCTCCAGGAATATTCCATGGCAGTTAGGGGCCCTGTCCTACTGAGGGGGTTGTTCTTTCCCAGATCCCAGGCCTGATGGTGGGCAACTGCTCTGCCTAAGGAAAATATTTAGAAGATGAGGGACATTTAGAAGATGAGCCTAGCAAGGGAAGGGGGGATGGGGTGGAGGATAGAAAGGGAGTCAGGGGATGTTCAATATGGGGAAAAAGGATATTAGGAGTGAGTTCCCTGGATCAGGAGGAGAAAGTGATGAGCATCAATAGCCTAGAAAGGAAGGGGAGGGTTGGGAAGGAGAATGGGGTGGAGGCGAACCTGAGACAAGAAGATGGGGTGTGGAAACCCATCTCTGCCCACACAGAAACAACATGTTTCCCGTGATGTACCACCGGGGCTCTCTGCTGCCCCTGCTATGGAGGAATACATACAGTTCCCACTGGAAGGCACAGGTGCTGGTCTCCGGGCTCAGCCTGATCTCCTTCATCCTGCTGCTGGTCATGGTCTTCTCCAAGAAATGGCTGTACCTCTCTAAGATCCACTTCCACCAGCGCTGGCCCATGAATGTTAGCAACAGAATCTACATGTCGGCCCATGTCATGTCCATGGGGCTTTTGCAGATCTGCAAAGTCAAGAGCTGTTCCAACTCAGAGAATGGGAAAGGTGAGACCTTCCATCCTCCCATCCCACTCCAGGCCTCCAGCCTGCATTGGACTTTCCATTTACACCCCAGTATTCCTGTCTCCTCCTTCAGGTCATCCCCATTGTTTTGGCCCACAAGATGGCTCCCTGGCACTGAGATCGCTAAGGATCATTTTTTTTCTCCTTCAGCCTGGCCAAATCAATTTGCCTGACCTCATGGAAAATGTCACTGCTTTTGATAAGGCTCATAGCTGTCTGTACTTATAAAAACGTTCTAAGGAGCCTGGACTCTTCAATGCATGTGAATGACTCATTAATCACATAATTTGCAGTTATCCTGGGAGAAGACCCCCAGTGAGCTGGGATTTCCTTCTTCTAGGTTTGCATACCCAGAGCTTTGGGAGGAGTTCCCAGAATGCTCTCCCTCCAGTCCTGGTCCCAGCCACTATTCTTCTCTTTGGCCTCAGGCTTTGCTTTTCTGAGCCAGCTCTGGGTTTCCATATTGGATTTCCACATTGGGTTTCCTTGTCCTTTCCTTCCTGGCTTCTTGCAGCTGCTTCATTCCCCATTCTTGTTAATCTCACATCCTGCTGTCCTCTCACTTTGGAGATTTGGGCCTCCATTCCCAGATCATGTGGAAAACCAGAGCTTTTGATGCCCCCCGCCCCCGACATACACCATTTCCACTTCTTCATTCTCATTAACATTAAAAAAAACTTACACAGCTATTATTTTCTTGCATTATGAAAATAATACACTCTTATTACAATATATTCGGGGAGACAAAAGCTATAATTTATTGCACACTTATTCTATTTGCTCAGTTTAATCTTCAATCAATCTGATGGGGGTAATTATCTTTATTTTACAGATGAGAAAATTGAATCTCAGATTAAATACCTTGCTCAGGGTCTTAAAGCTATTATATTGAACCACATGAAATGGCCAATATTTGACTGCTTTTCACCTACAAAAGAGAGCAAATTCACATGGATAAATCTAATAATGGCATGTTTAGAATTATAACTCAAGTGTGTCTAGCTCCAAAACTCATGTAGCACCTAACTTGTTCTATGGAGCTATTCAAAGACAGCCACTAGCAGCAGTGTGTTGAACACTCAATTTTTTTCCAGGCTTTAAAAAAATATTGAATAAGTTTTAAATGACTGTTACATAGTTGTAGTCATTCTTCATAAATAATCTTATATCTTTTACATTATTATTATTTATATTATTTTAAAATTTATCTTTGAGATATAATAAACTTTTCGTTATTGTAAGTGACTATAGTATTCAACTTAATAGATTTCTCACCTCTTTCTTGACTATTTTACTTTCCTACTTTTGGAAAACTTATTTCTAATTCAGATTTGGGGGAAAAGGAGTAACAAAATTTGTTAATCATAAAGTTTTTTCTTTGGATTAGATTTCCCAAAGTAGGTTTACTGGATAAAAAAGTATAAATATTTTAAGGCTCTTATTAATAGTTTTCTTGTTTCTTTCAAAGAGTATGATAGCAATTTATACTTCCACTAATAATGTATGAGATGGCTTATTTCCTTGTACCTTTGCTAGCAATATATATATATATATATGTATTAAAAAGTTGCACAGTTATTGTGGGAAGTGCAGAAAGTTTAAAAAGAAAATAAAAATCACCTAAAATTTTCCCACACAGATATAATCATAGTTGACAGTAAAATAGATTTATTTCCAGTCTTTTGTGGATACACACATGAGATAAATACAAATAGATATATATTTATTTTTAATAAATATATGTATTATTTTTAATAAATTGTAATTATTCTACATGCTCTGTGTTGCAAACTCTACTTTTAGGTTGTGAGCATTTACCCATATCATTTAATAATTATTCCATAGCATCGCCTATGTTTAAAATTTATTTGATTAGGTAGTATATGAACAGAGTGAAAATTAAAAAAAATACAAAAGATTACATAGTGAAGTGATCCTATCACCCCTGGCTTTCAGCCTCCCTCTCCAGTTTCTCCTTTCTTCCTGGAGACTCTATATTTGGAGACAATCATCATTTTTAATGAACACATAACAATCCAATGTATGGGTACACTATATTTAATAAAGCTCTTCTTGGACACAGAAATATCTCTGCAAACAAGATCCCTGTACATAGATTTTGGTGCAGATCTTGGATTATTTCTTTAACATAAATTCTGAAAAGAAGCATTGCTGGGTCAAAGGGCCTTAACAATTTAGTTTTTAGTTGTTGTTTTTTTCATATATTTTGTGCCATATCACTCACCAGAACTGCTGCCCACTAGCAGTGTGTGAGAGCACCTCTTTTTTCTAAATTCTTTCTTACACTAGGTATTACCACTTTTGTTTTGATCTTTGCTAATTTTATTGATTAAAAAAACACATTTAATTTGCAATATGTGTTGAGCTTCATGTGTTTATTGGACATACAGATTTCTTTTTCTGAGAATTGCAGTCCAAATCCTCTGCCTAATTTTTCTACTGAGGTATTTGTTTTCATATGGTTAGGATTATTAAACGACCTCCATATCAAAAATCTCTGACTGTTTAATAAATGAGAGTGATATTTCATTGTTATCTCGAATGTGTATTTGTTTGGTTATTAATCAGCCTGAACATTTTCTTGTATTTGCTCATTTGCTTATATTTTGTCTTTTGTGAATCCTCAGTTCATCCTGTTTTCTCCTTTTCCTCAGACAATATTAAGCTGTGGATAAATCATCCCATCTTTGGGGTGGCCATGATAACCTTCAGCCTGGCCCTGGGGCTGGGCTTCCTCTTCACCGTCTGGTTGCACCTGCCATACCTGCCTGGTCTTCAGAGATTGCCCTTCTTTGGCTGGATTGGGACTATCATGAGCTTCTGTGAAGGTGCCCCATAGCTCTGGAAAAGGTCCTGAGTGTCTCATAATCCACATCTTCCTGGGCACTTCTCCCACTTCCTTTCTTTGGGAGTGGGGTAGGTGTTTTATGAGTGGTGGTAGAACACAACAGGTAGTTGTTGACTGAGAATTGATTTTCATCATTTCCTGGTCACTGGAGAGGTGAAGGTGAGGGGTTCATTCCCATGAATCTTTGGGTCCATGTACTCTTTGTGCGCTGATGGGAGTTGTGGTTTGTGACTGTAGCTCAGCAGATGAGGAAGAGTCCCTATGGATACTTGAGTGGAAATGACCTCTCCGTTTCCTACCTTTTAGTTACCTTCATTTTCTTCACCCTCATGTTGTTTCCTGTTAACATCTGGATCTTCGAGTTGAAGAGGAATTTATCAATCCCCATTGGCTGGAGCTATTCCATTGGTTGGGTGGTGTTTGTCCTATATGTCACCTGTGGTGAGTGGTCTGGAGAGCCCTGGGAAGGAGGGGACATGGGTGGGTTAGGGTAGAGAAAATGTGGAGAGAGGGGGCTCGCGGTCCACAGGGATAGGTTCTTAGGGACTTATCTTGGCTTCGGCTTCACCCTGCTTGACACTTTCCTCCCACTCTCCAACCTTCCTCTCCTTCATCCCCCTTTCCCAGCATTCCTCTGCTACTTCAAACAAAAATTTCTGGAGTCTGATCTGAGCCATCCCTCTGACACCATGTCCTGCAGCAGCAGTTCCAGGTCAGACTCTCTGAATGAGGAGATTGTCTCAAACACCTCTATCAATCAGGAAGAAGTCCTGGATCTTGAGCAAGAGAAGGCAACTCTGTAACCTTTTCTGAACCCCTGACACCAAGTTCTATCCATTCATCTGAATTGCTCTCCTCATTCTTCCTCTTTGAGTAGGTTGGCCCTCTTCACTACAAGTCATTAGAAAGGGAGGATTTTAGGCCAGCTTTGCACTCCTCTTCCTTGTTCCTGCTTTGCCTACAGCTTGGGTGATGTGGAATAAATTGTCTGCCTCTTGTTTATCATGTCTGGGAGTTGTTGAGACAAGGCAACTTGAAGAAGGAGAGGAAGGAAGAAAGAACAAATTTTTTCCCCAGTTCTTTCTGGGAAACCTTCCCAATCTCTCCTACAGCACACTTGTACACAGGCAATCTCTCAAGAGCTAAGCCTCTTTAAACTTTGTTACCCCATCTCAACATTTGTTAGTAGGTAGAGGAAAGTGATCAGGAGAGAGATATCTCTTATGAATTTGTTGACATAATTATTCACAGTGAAGAATTCAAGAGCAAAATGGCCCCAGGGTAAGAGGCAGGTTAAACAATGAGAGCACATTTGTTAGTAGGTAGAGGAAAGTGATCAGGAGAGAGATATCTCTTATGAATTTGTTGACATAATTATTCACAGTGAAGAATTCAAGAGCAAAATGGCCCCAGGGTAAGAGGCAGGTTAAACAATGAGAGCACTATAGGGGGGTATAGCTGTTTGCTGTGCCCCCTGGGCAGCAGTCCCACATTCTATGTCAAGCTCAGGTGACTGACAACTCACAGAGCCCTGTGCCTGGATACCACCAGCGCCAACTCCAACTCTACCTCCACCACTTCCTCTAGTACCACCTCTTTCACCATCACCACCACCACCACCACCACCACCACCTCCAATCACCTCCACCACCTCTTCCACTATCACCACCACCTCTAATAATCTCCACAACCTCCTCCACCATCACCACCGCCACCTCCGCCACCTCCAATCACCTTCACCACTTCCTCCACCATCACTACCACCTCCAATCATCTCCACCACCATCTCCACTATCACTACCACCTCTAATCACCTCCACCACCCTGTCCACTATCACCAGCACCACCACATCACCTCCACCACCTCCTCCACCATCACCACCACCACCATATCACCTCCACTACCTGCTCCACTATCACCACCACCTCCAATCACCTCCACCACCATCTCCATTATCACTACCACCTCTAATCACCTCCATCTCTCCCTCCACTATCACCACCACCATCACATCACCTCCACCACCTTCTCCATCATTACCACCACCTCCAATCACCTCTACTACCTCCTCCACCATCATCACCACCACCATATCACCTCCATCACCACCTCCTCAACCATCACCACCTCCTCCAATCACCTCCAACACCACCACCCCCACTCTCTGGTTGCTACAGCTCTCAACCCAAGCCTCCTATGTTTTCTACCCTGTAACAGCAGGAATAAAACATGACAAGAAAGGAAAACATTAGTGTTGGGCCTTAAGATCAAAAGACAAGTTTCACATTTGGGTCTCACAAAGACATGCAGCAGCCAGCTTGGACAGTGCTGGCAATGACTATTGGGATTCAGACATCTTGCACAGAAAGGCTGGCCTCTCAGGACAGCACCTATGACTAATCTTTGTCATGTAATATCTCTCCAGATGGAGCTATGAACCAGGTAGCTAAAGGAGTACAGGGACAAATTGTGAGTGGGATGGATATGTTAAAAATATATGTATTGTGGGCCGGCCGAGTGGCGCGTTGGTTAAGAACTGGCTTGGGACGCCAGAGGGCCCTGGTTCAGATCCCACATATGAGGGCCAGTGACACTGCCCTCTGCAGCTAAGATGCTGAACAACAGCTCAACCTGGAGCTGGGCTGCCGTGAGTTGCTGGCGACAGCGTAGGCTGCAGCCCCTGTTGCAGGGGGTTGCCATGGGCTACCGTATGCAGCCAGCAGTCAGCGTGAGCGGCCAGCAGCCACTGTGAGCGGCCGTCCAGAAGCCAGCGACTGATCTGCCTCGCCAGGAAGAGCGCAATGATGGTGCCAACTTGGGCCAGTGAAGCAACGTCCTCCACAACTAGACTGAAGAACAAAACAACCGCAACTTGTCTGTTCCCCTTCCCCCAATTCCCCAAAAAAAAAATATAAAAATATATATATATATTGTTAGGTTGAACCATATGATACTGCTGTTTTAGCAGTTAAGTGTTGGCAATTTCATGTGGTTCAACCTACTATATGTGACTGATTTCTATTTGAGTCTCTTAAGATTCTTATTCTTACCATACCTGACCAAGAGTTGTGGAATTTCTAACCTAGTTCCAAGCAAATGGAACACATGGGCTTGAAAATTAGGCAGAACAGACATTCCACAAATCCTCACTCGTTGTCCCCCTTTTACTCCTCTCCTGTGGTAGCTAGCAAAGGTTTTTTTGGAGGACTTATTGAATTAATCATCCTGGTGGAAGAGACACAAAACAAAGGGGTGTCATGGCCTCTGTCTTAGAGATATATATAATTTAAGTGGAGAAAGTGACTTTCTAATTTTGTAGGAGTCATAGACTCAAATGCCTACGGAGGCTAGGCAGGTAACATAAATAAATAAAGGGGGCCACTCTTCCAGTCTACATATAATTTTCCTCTTTTAATAAAGACCTAGTATATTATCCATGCTGCATAACAAATTACCTCCAACTTAGAAGCTTAAAATAATATATATTTGTTACCTCACAGTTTCTGGGGTGAGGAATCTGGGAGCAGCTTAGCTGAATGGTTCTTGCTCAGGGCCTCTCATGAGGTTTAGTCAAGATGTCAACTGGGGCTGCAGTCATCTGAAGGCTTGACTGAGGCTGGGGGATCTACTTCCAATATGATTCACTTGTATGGCCATTGTCAGGAAACCTCAGTTTCTTGCTATGAGGGCCTCTTCACAGGCTGCTTGAATGTTCAGCGTTAATTTCCGCTAGAGTTGAGCAATCTAAGAGAGAGTGAGAGGAGGAAGCTCCAGGGCCTTTTATGACGCAGGCTTAGAAGAAATACACTGTCACTTCCACCATATTTTATTTCTTGGAAGCAAGTCATATTTTATTTGTTAGAAGGGGATATTGAGAAGACAAGGCCTAGAAAGAAGGCCTTTTGTGTCAGGTTTGAGGAGAGGGGGAAGTGTGGAGGGAAGGGCAATACTATAGGGCATAGAACTCTCACCAAGGCCTAGCTAGTTGCTTGTGTGGAGTTCTGACAGGGGACAGGGGCTCAGTGCTTCTTCTTTCTTCTTTCTCCTCCTCTTCCCCCTCCTCCTCCTCCTCCCCCTCCTCCTCCTCCTCTTCCTCCTCCTCCTCCTTTTCCCCCTCCTCCTCCTCCTCCTCATCCTCCTGCTCCTCCGCCTCCTCCTGCTCCTCCTCTTTCTCCTCCTCCTCACTCCTCCTTCCCCTCCTCCTTCTCCCACTCAAGGGAAAGGGCATTAAGCTTCACCTGTTGAAGGAAAGAATATCAAGAATTCATGGATCTATTTTACCACCATCTGACTCTGGTCACAAATTATTGACGTGTCTCCCACATGAAAATACACTAACTTCTCCCAAGGCCCCCCAAAGTCTTATCCCGTAACAGCATTAATACATTGAAAGTTCAGAATCTTGCTGTATTGTAAATTGGGGAGTAAGCTCCCCTAAGGGGTCTTTAAGGATTATTCCAACAAGGCTGTGGAAATGATACCCAGAGAGTCATATGAAAATAAGGGATTTATTATACTCACAGGTCCTAGAAGAGAGAACCATGGCATATAATGCAGGGGGCCTCATACGAGGAGTGCTGAGGGAGTGGGCTCAACTAAGCAGATGTGGAGCTGAAAGAGTAAGGACCCATGGGAAAGAGCCTTTTTTGGGGTCAAGGTAGAGTATACAAGCGAAAGGCTTGAGGGGATTTCATTGGTGCATTTGAATGTCACAAGGTCATAGTCATAGTCAGGAGAGGGCAAGAAGGAGAACCTGTGGCAGGAACCAGCTTTATCCCATTAGTGCACCTGGCCACCTGGTGGGGTATTTACAGCCTGTTTGGGGAGATATTGAAGTATCAGAAAAATATGAAGTTTTAAAAATGTACAATACACTAGCCATCTGTTATGGGTTAATTTGTGTCCCCTCCCACCCAAATTCATATTTTGAAGCCCTAACCCCCAGCATCCCAGAGTGTGACTGTATTTGGAGACAGGTTTTTTAAACAGTGATTAAGTTAAAATGCGGCCATTAGGATGGACCCTAATCCAATCTGACTGATATCCTTATAAGAAGAGGAGATGAGGAATACAAAGAGACACGAGGATGTGTGTGCACAGAAAAAAGACCATGTAAAGAGACAGTGACAAGGTGGCCATCTGCAAACCAAGTAGAGAGGTCTCAAAAGAAACCAAACCTCTCTACACCTTGATCTCGGACTTTTAGCCTCCAGAGCTGTGAGAAAATAAATTTCTGTTGTTTAAACCACACAGTCTGTGGTATTTTATATGGCAGCCTGAGCAGACTAATATACCATCTAAATTAGATCCGGGTGAAGAATGAGACTCTTCGGATATGATTCCTTAAGTACAACTCCTCTCAATCTGAATACCTGTGACCTAAAGAGACAAGTGATCATCCCCTGCATATCAACACAATGGTGGGACAGTCAAAAGATGACCATTGTAGATATTATGGCTTAAAAGGGGGGAAATGAGAGGCACACAGGAGTCACTCCAGCTGGAAAAATGGTGCAATTTCCTTGATTAGGACTCAGTCTTATTTCTGTCCAGGAGTGAGACTCCATGGCTTTTTTTGTTTTTTTTTTGAAGATTGTTTTTTTATTGGGTAACCGGGGGGGATGGGAACAGCGCTGGGGAATTGGGGGAAGGAGAACAGACAAGTCACTGTCGTCTTGTTCTTCAGTCTCGTTGTGGAGGACGTTGCTTCACTGGCCCAAGCTGGCACCATCATTGCGCTCTTCCCGGGTGAGGCACATTAGTCGCCAGCTTCTGGACGGCTGCTCACTGCGGCTGCTGGCCACTCACGCTGGCTGCTGGCTACACATGGTAGCCCATGGCAACCCACTGTAGCAGTGGTTGCAGCCTACACCGTCGCCGGCGACTCACGGCAGCCCAGCTCCAGGTTGAGCTGTTGTTCAGCATCTTAACTGCAGAGGGCAGTGTCACTGGCCCTCATAT